TACTATCTATATATAAACTAACGAGGTAAGTAGTAGTATAGATAGTAGTTAAATTAAGTTAGTAGAGAGGAGATATATATATNTCTCTATATATATATATATATATATATATATATATATATATATAGGAAGGAGCCATGGTATCTTAGCCAAACAAATATTTGGTGAATTGAGGAGTCCGCTAATACCCGTTGGTAGGTGGATTACATATATCATATTCCTCTTATGCTTTGCAATTAGAAGAGAGAGAGAGAGAGAGGCAGAAAAAGGCATGATTTTGGACAATTGAATGAGGGCGTCTTACATGTTGGGAACTGAGGCTATCTTGATCCCCCCTTGTAGGGATACATTAATTCCAAAAAATCCATCTATCCAAGAATCAAATATGGTACAGTAAACTTGATAAAAATATGATGAAATCAAGAGAAAGTAAAATAAGAACTCTAATAACACAACCATATACTACAAAGCTCCATGGGCACTAAGTATTATTGCTGCTAACTGTATATATAAGCTCAATATTCGTATTTGGTCCCTTACCTACATTTATCATGAAGCTAATATGGTGGCTGATTTACTTTCCAAGCCTAAACGCACAACCAATGCTTAACCTCATATCCTTGAGATCCTTTGTATAAGTTGTTCCTACAAAGCCTTGCATATGCTTGAAATTTTGATAATACTTGCCCATACTTCTCAAATTTTGAAGTTTCCATTGCATTCCAATATTTTCTTCCTAGGCTAAACCCAAACCAATCAAAATAGCGATAAATAAGTAAAATGACATATTTTATAGAAATCATGATAATAATCAAATCAATATCAGAGTAGCATGCAACACTCTAACCGCATCTGCCCTTCCTTCACCAAATTTTCGAAATTAGCCCAAAGGAAATTTATGTGGGGTTTTTGGCTTCACATCCCCTTGTGAAAGATCTTCAATTTCTCCATCTTGCCAAATATTATTATCAAGGTCTTGCTTTGTACTACCAAAATCTTCCATTGCCAAATCTTGTACCGGCAAATCATGTACCGCCTTTTGAGCTTCATTTTTCTCTACAACCAAATTTACTTGTTTATTTATAATTGTGCTCCCTAATAATTTATATAAGTTTTCTTCTTGGACTTCCTTCATTATAACTAAAACCCCTTTTGAAACTTTGAGCACTCCACCTTGCCTGGTAAATTTGTCGCCTTCCATATCAAGAGAAGAAAGTGAAATTAATATCTTCTTTAAATCCAACACATGTCGCACATTATTAAGAGTTCAAACCATCCCATCATACATTTTTATTCAAATCGTGCCTATTCCAATCATCTTACTCATTGAAGTATTTATCATTGATGCCAAACGACACTCGCATAGTTTATATGCATCAAACCGCGATCTATACAGGCACATAATATGCTCCACTATCAAGTTTCCAACTTTGATAGTTCATGGAATTACATCCACTATCAACACTTCATTTTTAATATAACTGGATGTTGATTCCTCAACTTGGTGGGCTTCATTCTTGGCTTTACCGTTCCCTTCCATTCCAGAAATGGACCCTTTAATGAATTTGACATTTTCCCTTGCCAACAAATTTTCTTTATGTGACCAAGTTTGCCACAATATCAGCTACCTCTTTTATCACAAAACACCCTCAACTTTGATCAGCTACTTAATAAATTTCTTGTTGAACCAACCGGTTCATCCAACCAGCGTCTTGCCACAAGTATATCCATTATTGAACCCATTAAATTATCCATGAATACCTTCTTTCAGAGTTCATTGATAAGTAGAGCACTACGAACCGAACCCAACTTGAGGGATTCTTCATTGTTACAATTCAAGGTACCAACAAGATTATCATAAGATTTTTGTAACAAACAATGTAATATCACCGGCTTTTCATCCTCATCCATGTTTACCCCGATATTCTCGAGTTCACAAATTATGTTGTTGAATTTATTTAAGTGTTCCGACACTTTTATACCATCTCCCATCCTCAAATAATACAATTTTCGTTTTAAGAAAACTCGATTTGTGAGGGATTTAGTTTGGTACAAGCTTTCTAGCTTTGCCATTAAATCCGCTTCTGTTTTTCTACTACTATGTTAAATAGTATTTTTATTTGCTAAATACAAGTAAATTGTGGCGAGGGCCTTCCTATCCAATTTTTCCCAACCATCATCCTTTATATATTTCGGTTCCTTGGATTTTCCTTGTAGGGTTTTATAAAGACTTTGTTGTACCAATAAATCATGAACTTTTATTTTCGAAAGTTCAAAATGATTCCTTCCATCAAAATGCTCTACTTCAAATTTTTAAGTAGTCATTTTCCCCAAATTGCTGCATACTTCTTTTGGGCTATGATACCAACTTGTTGGAAATCGAGGTTATCTCGATTACTCCCTCGTTGCGGTCAAGCCCCCACTACAATAAATCTAACACCTTGAAACCGTTCCCTCGATAAATCGATTTCAAGAAATCCATATACCCATGAATCAAATATGGAGTAGTAAAATTGATAAAGAAATCAAGAGAAAGCAAAATAAGAACTCCAATAGCATAATCATACGCTACAAACCTCAATCAAACCATCATCAATTCACAATATACGCGGTTCACTAAAAATGGGGTTACATCTACAGGTAACCAACAAGGAAATGATACGTTATTAATGGAAAAATTACCAGTTTTAGGGTATAGTAGAGAATACATCATACAATTGTAAAAAAAACTCAAATTTATATTTTCTACCACAGTCACACTATCGATCGACATCTTGCTTTACCTCCATCAACTAACACCGTCACCACAAAAGAATCCCGATAAAATTCAGCCCAATAATAAAAAAACCACTAAGAAGCTAGGGTTTGCTAAAACCCAAATTTTTATTTTTACCCAAGTATCCTCCTCTATCTCTTTCGGAAAAAGCTACCAACAAAAAAAAGTCTACATTATTCTATCTACACAATAACTTTTGGTGCCTCCATAAATTTTTTAGGATGAAAAGAGCCTTTAGCATTGAGGAGAATATCATAGGTAAATGGGAGGTGAATTTTTGCATTACCTTCCCAACATTACATTCCTTGTAAGCTTTGCACTTTGAATTGAGGAGGTAGGGGAGGAGGGTGCTAGGCATAGGGATAAGCCTGGTCGGGACGACGAGAGAGAGAGAGAGAGATGCCAGTTATAGCGAGAGATATATGGCAGGCTGCCCAAAGACATGGACGTTTGATTTTCCTTATTTTGCCACAATGACCGCCCGAGTCGTCGTCATTGGCGAACCAAGCCCAAACAAGGTGGGGGCCACTGGTCCAACCCCTACAGAAAGAAAGTTGCGTCGCTGCACGCCGTCGAAAACAGCACTCCTAGTGGGGGAATAATCCCCACCATAACTCCAAATACAGGAAATTAATTTCTACAAATTTCTCTCTCCCAAGTTTTCCCAATCCAACGCCTAGGGCACCTAATCTCTCATCTACATCATATGCATAACAAGCCCAAACGAGTGTTTTTTTGCACTTTTTGGGCAATAAAATATGTACTTCGTTAACTCTAATGATTCGAGATTTTGGGAAATAAAATATCAATGAAGATTAGTGCAATTGCCTTATTATAATGCATGTCAGAATTCGTTTCCTAGACATTATCCCTGTCCCCATTACCTTAGGTAAAAATTTTCCTAATCCGAATATATGCCACATCAGCATTAGTCCGTAAGAAATCCCCTGACTCGTTTAAGTAAAATAAAGGTTTTTTTTTTTTTCTTTTTTGGAATTTCGCCCTAGTTTTCTTTTAACAGCAAAGAGTGAATAAATAGGGAAAAGGTAAAACGCTGACGGCCGGAAATGGAAACGAGGGAAAGGGATGGGTATGATGGATCATTTGACAAGCATAGGGTGCGTACGATGATCGACACGTAGCCTGCACGTCCCACCCCACATTTATTCACTGCAACAGTGCCCACCAGAAAACAAACGCAACCCAAACAAAGCCTCGGCTGCACCACTCCCTTTTGCCTCCAAGACTCTCTCTCTCTAAAAAACTCTCTATAAAGAGAAACCTCTTTCCTTTTGGGAGAGCTGAGAACGGCAACGGCAGGGGGTAAGAAGTGTGGAGAGGTAGTCGATTATTTGGGGTAAGTCGAGAGAAGACTTGGGCCTGGGCCTGGGCCTCGGACCCCTCCCCCTCCTCTAATCTGAACATCGTTTCAGAGAGCCCCTATTTTTGGTAGAGTGAGGCATTATCATCTGAGTCGGGGTGCTTTCTTTCCTATAAAAGAGGGCCAAGCGAATTTACCTTTGGATCTCACTGCTTTCTTACTTTCTTCTTCTTCTCCTCCTCCTCCTTCTTCTTCTTCTTCTTCTTCTTCTACTTCTTCCCCTTTTGAGTTGAGATCTGAGAGAGAGGGGGTGAGAAAATGGGGAGAGGAAGGGTGGAGCTGAAGCGAATCGAGAACAAGATCAACAGGCAAGTGACCTTCTCCAAGAGGAGGAACGGTTTGCTCAAGAAGGCGTATGAGCTCTCTGTGCTTTGCGATGCCGAGGTCGGACTGATCATCTTCTCCAGCCGCGGAAAGCTTTACGAGTTCGGAAGCGCCGGGTATGTCTCCTCCTCTCTCTCTCTCTCTAAACCACTTCCCTCTCTACTCCTTCCTTTTAAGCTGTAGTCTTAAGCGAATCCTGCTGCTAGATCTATAAATTACAACGTCTTCTGTTCTGCAAAAGCTTGATTTCTTTGTGCTGTCAACTGTAGCTAGAGAGAGGGGCGATGGTGCGTTATTTTGGTATTTATAATGTATTTTATTTGAAGTTACGATGATTCTTGCGAGGTTATTGGAAAAGAGTTTGTGGCCAATGGGGTGTCGACACGCTTGGGGCTATCTGTTCCCTAAAGCCTGCTGCTTGGGAAACCGTGGCCCGTCGTCTTTAATATATTGTTTCCACGCCCCACTTTCTCTATCTCTCACTAAAACGACCTCCGATCCTCCCTGTAAACACCCTCTATCGTGAAACCATTAAGGCTAAGTCCGATTATGATTTTACTGGACAATTTTGCGGTGCAACTTCTTCCTCAAAACCCTAGGCTCTACTCTGAAGAAAACCCTAAAACAATCTCATGCTTTCTTGTCTTTCATTTTATGCACTCCAAGCTTTTCTGGTTTTCATGTTAGACAACCGGCTCGGCGGCCATCGTCTCTCTCTCTCTAGACTCCTCTCACTTGCTCTTTTTTTTTTGGCATACCTCATCTTCTTTCTATCTTCTATATTTCTCTTTCTCTTATATTTCGGTAAACGCGCATGGTGAACAAGAAATTTTGTGTCCAAAAAGAAAAAAAAGAAATCATAGAAGCTCCATTACTCGTTTTCAACTTGCTATTAATCCATGTCTTTCAGTCTTCCTCCCTGTCCCTTGTCTTGATTTTATGCGTTTGTTTAGTGTTATCATTCGACTGTGTAAAAACACAGTCAATGTTGGGAAGCTCCTTCCCTGATTTGTAGCCATGATCTTCATCTCCCTCTCCGCCCTTTTCTGACTCTCTCTACCGTTATCTTGAGTATTCAACGATGATGCTCATACCGAGGTTAGAGACTTCCTTTCTGTCCCCGGTCCCAAATGTGACCTAAAGAGATGAGACTTACAGAGAGAGAGAGAGAGAGAGAGAGAAAGAGAGAGAGGTTCTAGGCTTCCTGGGTCCTAAATCCTAGCTAGTGTTGTCGGACACAGATACGAGGTTTAAAGATTCTGACCTACTTTTAATAACCTCTGTCAACAACGCTTTAGACCTCCTCCGTAACACGATTTAATAAATAAGCACTAGTTTGGGCTCGCAGGTCGCCGTGTAAGCTCAAAGAGGGATCACAGATAAATATGCATATACATAAAAAAAAAATTTATTTTTTTTGAAAAGTAAAATGAGCTGCCGGGCCAGTATAGGCACGTTCATTGTGTAAACTCAATGACCAACGTGTGTAAGCAACATTCTATTTTCATTTCTTTAAAAAAAAAAACTTGTTTTTTTTTTTTTTTTTTTGAGGGAATTGTATAGGAAAGGCATGGAGAAATATGCCCTTTCTTCCGCACGGCATTTTACTGTAATTTGCTTCCCAATTTTTCTCAGCTTTCTGTTCACGGTATGGTCGTTGTTTCTTTATGCAATTAAACGGTTCTGTAGGCGTCGTCCTCTCCTGGGTACTATATCCTACTCTTGTCTGGTATCTTTGGCGAGTATTTTGTTTCGGATAATGCCGGTTTAGCACCCAAAGTCTAGACGGGCTCCTAGAACCTCAGAGTGCATTTTCATGTGTATTTAAAAGCATATGAATGCAGATATTTATGTTCATCAATTTTTTTGGACCCAGTTCCTATGCGATCAAGCCCGCATATATAAAAATATGGGCATGTTAATAAATCTATTTTTGAGATAAATTTTTGGATTTAATTTTTAAGGACATATAATCTCTAATATGGAGATCATGGATATGAAAAATTAAGTAAATTTTAAAAACTATAAATAATAATTTTAATAAGAAAACATTTGAACCGTTAGTTTCTATTGTTTTTAGATGGAATGCCTACTTCCATCCATCTTTAAGATGGATGCTTTACACTTTTTGGGTCGCATATGTAGTCATGCGGTCTAGCCCGCATGAGACATTTTTCCTTTATGCATTAGATTTAATATGTATTTTTTTCTAGCAAATATATATGCATGATTCTTGCGAGGTTATAAGTAAAACTTATATGTAAACTGCCTATAAGGTTTTTTTTAATAATTTTATTCAATACTCTCAAATAATAGATATTTTTACATGATGAGGTACCGTGGTACATGTCATAGTTTTGATTGATGAGACTAGAAGCGGCATAAACACAAAGTAAGAACTTTGGAGGGATGCGCTAGAATCTAAAGCGTTTAAAGTTAACCACATTAAGATAGAGAATATGGAATATAATTTTTAATAATAATAGGAATAGAAAAGAAAAAATAGTTAGGATTGATAACCCAGAAACATCTCAAAAGGATTATTTTCGATATTTTGGGTTGATAATCCAAGATAATTGACAGATTAAGGATGGTGTTGCACATAGAATTAAAGCTGGGTGGGTCAAGTGGAGATGCGCATTTGGAGTTTTATGTGATCATTGCATACCAATGAAACAAGAGGGGAAGTTGTATAGGACAGTTGTGAGACCAACCATGTTTTGTGGGACGAAATATTGGATGGTTGATATAGCACTAGGTCAACGATCATAGTCAGTGTCAAGGTGGATGTCTAATCTGCGTGGTTGTTACCTAGGTCATGGTTATTGCATGATACATGTGCATGAGTTTATTTTGCTTTGAAAAATAGTATCTATGGAAAATATGAATCGTGTATTAAAGTTAATGCCTTTTACATTGGAATATACGTTTGCATGTGTAGTAGGTTAGTTTTGCATGTAATAAATGTTTTAAGAGGTCCAAAAGTAGGTTTGGTCTTCCAATGTACATGGATTTGATTAGTGGATCTTTGGAAACATGTAGACTTAGGTTTTGAGTTAGAAAATCGGTATAAAATGTCTATAAAGCAGGATAACGAAGTTTGAATGAAAAAAAATATTTCTAAGTGAACCAGGATTTGTGTAGTAGATTTCAATTAGTTGGGAAAAAAAAATTGACAATGATGATGATCTTCCAATATATAGGGACTTGATTAGGAGGTCTTTGGAAGCATGTACACTTAGGCTTCGAGTTCACGAAAGGGGTGTACAATGGTTGTAAAGGAGGAAGGCGAATTTTGAACGAAAAAGAAAATATTTACAAGCATTCTTGCTGCCTTTTAGAGTTGAATGATTCTTCCTTTGGAATTGAGTGAGTCTTTCTTTGGAATTGAGTGATTCCAACTTACATTGTCGGTTTAGTGATTTCTGGCTACATCTCGCCAGCAGTCAAGAAATAATATATCTATAGGATGAGTGTAGTTGAGATAAGAATGTTGAGATGAATGGGTGACAAGGCAAGAAATGATAGAATTCAAAATGAATAAATAGGAGGGAACTTAAGGGGCTCCAACAAGCGATAAGATGAGGTAAAATAGACTCAGTTGGGCTAGTCATGTGCAATGTAGACCTAATACAATACTAGTTAGGAGGGGCAAATTTGTTCAAGTCGAAGGCTCTAAAAGTGCAAGGAGAAGGCTCAAAAGGACAATGATGGAAGTAGTGAGAGGAAATCTGATTGAGGACATGGCCTTTAATAGATAAGAATGACATAACAGAATTTGGTATCCTACCCCAAATAGTCGGGATAAGACTAAGATGATGACGATTGTCAACTAATGGATATTTCATTATTACTTTATGAGGAATTAGTTTTATTACAACATTGAATTATCAATGATAATAAGTACATTCAAACAAGCCTTATGGCTATTTTTTCTATTTTTCATTGTTTTAAAATGCGGGATGTTGTCCCGATGCGGTCCAGATGCGGCCTTGATGCGATCAATAAATATAAATTTTTTTAAAAAAAATCTCAAAAAATAGGTTAATACATGAAAATAATATGGAGATTATTTTTGTGATAGTAGGTAGTTAATTTATTCATTAACTCCAAAAGCATCAGCTGTCGGAGATTTTGTATCCACGATCCCCTTCAAGATATAGAATACCTTAAAAAATAGAAACTAGAATTTTGAAACTAACTTTATAGAAGACAATAGAACTTAAAAGACAATACCGGTATCTTCTCGGCCCTTAAAACCCTCAATATGTTGTCAAATCTTTGACCAAACTTCCTTAAATCAACACCCAAACTAATTCTAATAAACAAGCAAAAATCCACAAGACAAAATCTAAAGATTTTCTCAAAAAAGAATTTTCATCATTCTTTTTTTTTTTTTTTTATTCGATTAGATAGAAAAAAAGCCACGAAAGTAACTGTTTTTACCATTTTGGGGGATTTAAAACTCCCATCACGTTGTTTCGGTGCATATGCGGTGCACCTCCCAGCACATACCACATGATGGGGTCACATATGCAGCGATGCGGCCGCATTTAAAAACAATGTTATCATGCTTGTGATGAGATCGATGCAAGCATCGTCAAACTCGAAATGATTAGGCATACGGAATTGCTAGACTTCTAACAAGTAAGCCTTGCCTCTAGAAACTAAGGGTGGCAATGGGCCGGGTGGCTAGGCTTGGCCCAAAAAAACTAGGGCAGCCACAAAATGTGGTTCGAGGTCCAGACATAGCTAGTCCATTGGGGCTCATGGGCCTAATGGGGATGGGCTAGTGAGTTCGGCCCGGCCTGATCCTCATTTTTTTTTTTATTTTTTTTTTTTACTTTTTTATTGTTTTGGCCTGTCACGGCTCTGAGGGGGCTAGGACTAAGACTGGGCTAAGACCTAAGGGGAGTTGGGTCGGGCCAGGGCCAGGGCAGGCCCAGTCTGTCGCGAGCACCTACCAGAAAAAATAAAATCCTAGTGGCATTTTGTAAGAGAAGGTTAACATAAGACTCGCTGGTTGGCTAATGAGGTACTTTTGCTGACGACACTCTTCAAGTTTGGAGATATAAAGCCCCAGATACAGATACACTATGGCTTTTTACTTTATTAT